ATGAGTGTGCAAGGGGGGTCTGCATCCCCCTTATGGGGAGAATGAGTGTGCAAGGGGGGGTCTTCACCCCCCTTATGGGGAGGATGAGTGTGCAGGGGGGGTCTGCATCCCCCTTATGGAGAGGATGAATGTGCAAGGGGGGGTCTTCACCCCCCTTATGGGGAGGGTGAGTGTGCAAGGGGGGGTCTGAACCACCTTGCTGGGGTAGTGAGTGTGCACGGGAGGAGTTTGCACCACTCGTGAGGGTGTCAAGGGGGGAAAGAGGGGAGGTTTCCCCCTCCTCGCAGGCGGGTGGTAAGTGTGCAAGGATGGGGGGGTTCGCTCTGCTCCGTGGGAGGGTGCAAGCGTGCAAGGGCTGTTGCACATGTGCACACTGCCCTGTGCACACAAGGGTGCCCCTGCTCATATCCCAGCCCGGCACACGTGGAGCTGCCAAATGGTGCCAAAGAGGAGCTGGGATCCCCGTGGAGGTGAAGGATTACGGATATAGGTCAAGCAAGCCAGAGCACCCGACTAAGCCTGCCCCATACTGCAGGATCTTCCCCTTAATCTTCCAGCACTTTAATTAGCACCTGGGCTCCAGGCCCCGCTCGCCCAGGCTGATCCCGCGGCGGTCCAGGAGCCAGCAGCAATCCCGCACCTGCAAATACCAGCTCACGGAGATAAAGTGAGCCGCTGTCCTTGAGTTATTTTGAAGCGGCGGAGGCAGGAGGAGGCTGTCTTCCCAGAGTTTTGCAAGGGCAGCGCAGGCAGTTGGGATTTGCCACGTGCCGCTCACTCTGGAGCTTGGGAAGGGCTGGAGCTGCAACAGGAAGCCAGCTGTGCGCCCTCCTGCCTGCCGTTATCCCAGAGAGCGCCCGTATTCCTCCCCTGCAGCAGCTTTTCCTCTGCACTCATCCGGCGCCACTCCAGAGCTAGCTTTGTGCTCACTCCCTTCACTGTCTTTCTCTTGTTTTCCTCCAGCTTTGGCGGAGATCGGAACTGTTTCCCTGTGCTTTCCTGCTGGAGCAAGAGGCTGAGAGCACCAACATGGCAGGTACGAGGGCCTCTGCTCTTCCTTGGCTTACAGAAAGGCTCTGTGGTGCTTGTCCTCGGCAGCATTATGGATGTCTGAGCAGGATCCGTCCGGCTACATGGACACAATTAGGATGGCAGGGGAGAATCCTCCCTTTCTATTTAAAACCTGGCAACTTGGGAAGTTAAAGAAGATGAACAAGGGAGACTCCACATTTGTCACTGGTTCTGTGCAGCCGTTGGTGCTGATGGATTTTTCTTGTTGTTTTTGCAGAAAAAGTGAACAACTTCCCTCCCCTCCCGAAGTTCATCCCRCTGAAGCCATGTTTCTACCAGGACTTTGACGCGGAAATCCCACCGCAGCACCGCACCATGGCCAAGCGGCTTTACTACCTCTGGATGCGTGAGTCGCTGCAGCCACTTCTKGGCGGGTTTCTGGCTCGGGCAAGACCTGGGAGCATTGGGATTTCCTTTGCCTCTGGCATGGATTTATGCTGGATCTGTGTGTCCTGCTCCTTTAGGTCCAAGGCTGCAATGGTGCCATACAGGCATCCCAGAGCTTGCAGTTCTTCCTGGAGCCGGGTCTTGCCGTCCCTCTTGCATGCTTGCGTGGTGTGCCGTGCTCCGCGCTCACAGAGCCATCCCGGTACCTGACTCGATAAGCCAGCCAGGATTGCTCTTCCTTATGGGTTTATCCCCAGGGCAGGGAGTCCCCATCCACAGCCCCTTGCACTGGGGAGGGCGGCAGGACAGGGGGACCCGTGTGGCTTTGCCCCAGCTCCTACATAGGGAATCTCAGGTAAGCAATGCACCATCCACGCTTAGTGAAGCTAAGTCCCTTTATCAGACATTTTCTTTGGAATTTGGAAGCATGTAGCCCCGCAGAGACGGCCCTTCCTATCAGTGACTGCTGCTCCAGGTGGAAATTACTGAGCTGGCACGGCAGAGACAGGCGCCGGCACTTCCTCCATGCTTGGCACAGCACCCGGCTCTCCCTGGCTGCCTTTTGGGGCAAAGGTGACCCTGGAGTAACTCCCTTCCTCGTGTCAGGAGGGCTTCCAGAGATTTTCCTTTATGGGAGAAGGAAAAACACACCCAAGCCTCAGAGAAGGACGATTATTTTCATTGGGGTCATTAAATTCCCCTGCCACCTTGTTCTGGACACACACGGTTCAGCAGCGCTCTGCACGTGTCCCGGCTCTGAGCTGGCCACCCGCCCACTGCCTACCCACCCGTTTTGGGTGCTCCTTTGGGGCGGATTTTCACCCCTCAAAGATTCAAGACATGAATGAAAAGCCCCCTCAGTGCCGCGCAGGGGCTGCAGAGCAGCAAGTGCCCACGGGTTTCCCCGACTGAGCTCCCTTTCTTGCCCTCCAGAGCTGCAGCTGGCCGCCCGCTCCAGAGCGGCGCGGGGAGCGTTTCCTCGGAATAATGAATCATTCTTAAAAAGCAGAGGCGTCAGAACGCAGCTGAGTCCCCTCTGCTTTGTSCTGTGTGTGCCGGGCCCCGTCTCGCAGCAATAGCCCCTGTGTCGCTTGTGACACCCAAGGCGGAGGCGGGAGAGCCGGGCGGCGTCAGGGCTGCCGCGGGGTCTCTCTGCTCACACTCATGTCCTTGTGCTCCTCTGCCCGCGTGTGTGCGTGTGTGTTTGCAGTGAACAGCATCACCTTGGCGGTGAATCTCGTGGGCTGCCTCGCATGGCTCATTGGAGGCGGTGGAGCTGTTAACTTTGGACTCGCCATTCTCTGGCTCATTCTCTTTACGCCCTGCTCCTATGTCTGCTGGTTTAGACCTATTTACAAAGCTTTCAAGTAAGTGTTCACAGCTAAGCCTGGCTTTTCACGGTCTTTTCTCCCCTCTCGCAGCTGGTGCTTAGCTTGGGGCATTGCCTGTACTTTTGGGGAGTTTCTGCTCTTTCTATCCAGCCTTTTAGCTTTACTTTCTAACTGTCAAAATAAGGGTGTTTGGGGTCTCCAGGTGGCCCAGACTCCATCTGTTCGGCATAAAGACAGTTGTCTGCCCACATGTGCAGCTCATCGTGGGGTTGCAGAACTGGGAGCCGTGGGTGTATGTGGTGCACGGGAAGGGAAGTGTTCGGCTCTCTTCACCCCTCCAAGTTAACAGATAGATAGCTGCACAAAAATGAGAAACCTCTGTGTTCTGCACCAAAAAGGCAGATTTTTTTTCCCCTCCCTGAGACCTCTTTTGTGTTTTATAAGCCTCTGGGGTGTTTGTATCGATTATATATGCTGCCGAACTTGATTGCTTCTCACTGATGCGTGATATAAACTGCTGTGCCCATGGCCTTCTGTGCCATCACTCTCCCAGGAGACACTCACCCTGGCTTTGCTGCCCAGAGACAGTGACAGGGCTGCGAAGCTACCTCCCGGGGACAGCAGATGCTTAATGGTCTTCCCAGCTACCCTTCCAACACCTCGACCATCCCACATCTTCTCCTTTCCCTGTGGTTTTGTTCTGCTGTCTGCAACAAGCCGCTCTTCTCACTAACCTGTCCAAACCCTCTTCTCCCTCAACCTCGGAGGGAGAAGAAACCCACAGCCACCTGTGTGGTAAAAGGACCTGAGATGGGACTAGTGGCTAGAGCATCTGCCTTCCTTCGGAGCACAGAGCTCTCTGTCCCCGCCCCTGTCCCCCACCACCGAGGGACCTAAGAGGTGACTGAGATGTCTCTTGCAGGACAGACAGCTCCTTTAGCTTCATGGCCTTCTTCTTCACCTTCATGGCGCAGCTGGTGATCAGCATCATCCAAGCGGTGGGAATCCCTGGCTGGGGTGTCTGGTAAGGAGGTAGCTGCTCTTGTGTTGAGAGCCAGGGGAGCTTTCACTGCTGCTGGACAGTGGGGCTCAATGGGGTGTGCAGTTCTGGGGATAACTGCAGAGATTGACCGGTTCTTGATCTTGTCCCTTGATCTCCTTGCAGCGGCTGGATTGCAGCAATTTCCTTCTTTGGGACCAACGTGGGCTCGGCCGTGGTCATGCTGATCCCCACTGTCTTGTTCACTGGGATGGCGGTCTTCTCCTTCATCGCCCTCACCATGGTACGGCCGTGGCGGGGATGAGGGGACGAGGGACAGGGGCCAAAGAGCCGTGTCCACATGTCCCAGATGAACTCACGTTTTGTCCTCTCAACCCTCCAACTGTTGCAGGTGCACAAGTTTTACCGGGGCAGCGGTGGGAGCTTTAGCAAGGCCCAGGAGGAGTGGACCACGGGTGCCTGGAAGAACCCGCACGTGCAGCAGGCCGCGCAGAACGCCGCGGCGGGCGCCGCGCACGGGGCCATGATGCAGCACGAGACGCAGTACTCGGCCACCCCCAACTACACCTACTCCAACGAGATGTGAGCAGCCGGACCTTGGCCTTGGGTGCTGGAGCTTGGGCGGGGATGAGTGGAGGAAGAGGAGGAGGAAGACGGCTGAGCCGATTTGCCACARCTCCCTGGGAAAGGTGGAGCGCACCAGAACGGATGGATCTTTTCCCCTGTTCCTTGTAACGACACTTTTCTTTTTCTCTCACGGTCTTGAGCAATTTTTTTCCTCCTTCTCTTTTCATTTTGAAGAGGCGCCGAGCTGCCCCGCAGGACTCCTGCTGTGTGTGGTGATAGGTGTATATTCCTGTGTCTTCTTTCCCCTGTGAACTAGTGTATGGTGATGGTTTTGAAATTACTGTGGTGATAGGTGTATGTTAGAAGAACATCAGCCAAAAGCCCTCCCTCGTCCTCCCAAAAAAAAAAAAAGATAAAAATAGCAACCAGCACCCATCTCCCCTCTTGTGATAAGAGCAGAACTACAGATATATATGTGTATATATATATATTTTTTCCTCTCTCAGTTGGTGGTGGTGGCCAGCCATTTGCCACCTGGGGCAAACAGTCCTGGGAATTCTTCTCCTTCTTGCTTTTTAACTAGCAGGTGGCCGGCAGATTTAGTGGTGAAAAACAAACCAGTGACTTCATTGTGCTGTGGGAAGCCGAGAGGCTTCCTGGCTCAGGACCTGCCCCTTCTGTCAGGCCCACGCTCTTGTAAATGAGTAGTTGACCCTTTTGACATGGTAGAGCAGTGTTAGTGCGTGGTTGTGACCGAGAGCCACAGTGCACTGTGTTTACGTGTGTTTGCTGCAGCAAGGCATTTTTTATGTAAAACTGGCGGAGGTTCTGCATCCTGGCTCTGTGTTTTAAAGGATTTTACTTCAAAAAAGGGACTCAAATGGGCCGAATGTTTCTCGGAGGACCTGCTCTTGGGCAAGGCTCTGGCTCCAATCTTGCCACCTCATATGCAAGCACATAATACCAGTCTCACTGACTGGCTCCACAGGGTGATCAAGACTGGGCCCTGTTACCTTCAAGGCATACGCAAATTTGGGGACCTTTAGCTAAAAGATGGTGCTGGCAATAACTCCTTGTCCCATGGGACTTCCAGGAAAGTYGGTGGGACTTGGCCTTGCACCTCTGCTGGGGTTCCTTGCACATAAGGGATATGGTGGCCCAGCAGGAGCTTTGTGGGGCATCAGCCTCGTGGCCCCTGTCTCTCTTGTCACCAAGAGATGCTTGTGAGTGAAATGGGTCCCTGAGAATCATGCCGAAAAGGGGCTTATTTCCTTCATATCCTATGTGTACCAAGCGTAGTCACCTCTCGTGGGCACCACTCGAGCTGTTCAGCCGAAGGAGGTCGTCTCCTGACACGACTAAAGTGCAGCTAATGATAAAGATGCCTCTGTGCGTGTGTGTGTGCGTGTGTGTGTTAAATATATATATATATGTATAAAACGTAAAGAGAAAACTAATCCTTTGCTGAATCTATTATGTACTTAATCAGGTTTAAATATTGTGCAATTCATTTAAAGCTAGCCGAAAGCTGCCTCTGCCAAACAGTGTGCTCTGTCCTCCCGCCTGTGAGAAATGATGGATTATTGGTAATACCATTTTTTTTCCCCTGTGTTTATGCACAAAGGCCGCATGTAACACACTATAAATAACAGCCACAGCTTTGGTGTGCGGCCACCCTCTGCTGCGCGTGCGAGCGGGGCCTCCACCACGGCGAGGCGGAGGTTATAAAAATAACCCTTTTTATTTCCGTTTTCCTGGAAACCCCAATCCTGGGCTGTCAGGACTGAGCTATCTCTGTGGCCGGCTGCTGTTTCCTTTGGTAACCCAACGCTTTTCCCCCCTCGCGGTGTCACCCTGCGCTTGAGCACAATAAACTCGGTGCACGTGTGGTCACCTCAGTGTTCTGCTGGCTTGTTCTCGGGAGGGCTCTGCTGGCCGTGGGCGATGTGCTGGAGGTGTGTGGCCTCCCCCTGCCATGGCGGGTTGGGGCTGGGCCCCCTTTGAGCCCCCGGGGGGCTGCGGGAGGGCGCACATGGCGGGGGGCAGCCTCGAACCGCCCACCTCGGGTCCGCGGGGCTGGCCGGGAGGCAGCGCGCATGCGCGGCGCTACAGCGGCGGCCTGCTCTGCGCATCGGGCCCTGTGGGTGCTGAAGGCGGCGGCGGCGGTTCCGTGCTCGCTCCGGCGGTGAGTGGGACCGGACGGTGCTGCGGCCCCGGCGCGGACACCCCCGGGAGCTCCCTGGGTCGGTACGGGCGGCGCGTCCCGTAGCGGCAAAGCCCTCGCAGCCTCTGCGCGCGCTACCGTAATGGCGCGTTACCGTATTGACGCATTACCGTAATGCCGCGTTACCGTATTGACACGTTACCCTAATGGCGCGTTACCGTATTGACGCGTTACCATAATGCCGCGTTATGCCGCGTTACCGTATTGACGCGTTACCGTAATACCGCGTTACCGTATTGACGCGTTGCGCCCCCCTTTGCCGCACTGTTTACCGCTGTGTACGTCACTCGCCTTTTTTTTTTTTTTTTTTTGCTTTAAAGTAAATTATACCCTTTTGTAATTCCTCTTGCTGAATTGCAAGCATTTCTAATTGGGAAATACCCAGGATCCCTTTACTCCTTAACCAAAATGTTTCCAGAGCTGCAATTAAAAAACAATAAAATAACTAAACAGGTTTATAATTTTTTTTTCTCCTGTCAGAGTTGTGCTTCAGTAAGACAAAAGAGCTCCCTAGAATATCAGCACTTGATATGGAATCTAGCAGTTATTTTTAAAAGGCCCCTGTAAAAGAGAGCCGCTAAGACTTATTTCCCAGAATTTGTGCTAGTATGGTAGTTGAGTGAGGCGTGCATTGTGAAAAATGTGATGAGTTTAATTAGATGGAGATAAAAGCAGTGTCAGTGTCTCTTTCTTCCGCTCCTGCCCAAAACGCCTCCAATAATCACCTTCAAGCAGCAAAGACAGCCGTGAAATGGAACAAACTTTACAGAATCCCAAGGTAATGTCTCCCCCAGAAAGATATTCTTCAGTTTCTTCAGAAAGTGGATTTACTCTTTGTCAATCATGAGATTTCATTGAAGAGAAACATTCGGGTCTGTTCTGCAGGTGAGGGGTGTTTTTTATAGTAGGTGGTGCTTTCATATTTTGGAAGCAGCTCATCCGCCTTCCCTGTGCTCAGCAGGAAAGGTGTGTTTTAAATCCTGTGCCGTGTTCAAACACGTGAGATCATATTTGTTTCTAGGGCCCTTGGCTTTCCCAGAAGGAATGGGAGATCTGCTTTTGTAGTTCTAACGGTTGCTTCCCCATACGATATAGAAAAGTGYAGGCAAAAGGAAAATACATAGGAGGGCTGGACTGCGTTCATGCTGGAAAAAAAACTTGGCAAGTTGGGCTTAAATGTTTGGCATGCAAGCGAATTCCCCTGGGTCCCGCGTGGGCCAGGCTGAAGTCCGTGCCCTTGGGGCTGTGCCTGCTAGCTCGGGAGCAGGGAGCACAGATAAAGGTGCCGCAAGCGCTGGCTTAACTCCTGCACGTGCAGTCCCAGCAGACCTGATTGTACCTGAGGCGGAGCCCKGCCCACGCTTAACGAGAGGATCTCGGCATTTCTGTGGCTCAGGCAGAGCGCTCAGGACTGCCGCTGGAGTCCAGGCAGTGCTTCGGAGTAGTCGGAAAGGAAGCAAAGAAGTAACTAAATAATAAATAAATARGTTTCTCAGTGCTGTCTTACCCTGGAGTCGGAAGGGTTTGTGTCGTTCTCCATGCTTGTAGGTTTTGGTCGGACCATGGAGCCTCTGCCGCCTCCGGATGCGCAGTTTCCTTCCGAAAAGAGCTTGTCCGTGCCACAGAAGAAAATCCATGTCCTGGTGGGAGTGACTGGCAGCGTGGCTGCCCTGAAACTGCCTCTTCTCGTCTCCCAGCTGCTGGAGATCCCTGGGGTGAGTAGACCTCGTGTTGGAAGAAATGCCATGAGGTTAGAGGCAGCAGATTTCTGATTTCTGGTGGAGTTTGGTACYGTATTCTTTTCTTTAACGGAGTTTGTTGGCATAACAGAGGTGTCCAGCAGAGGCCACTGCTGACTAGAAGCAGAGAGGAAGATGTCATCAACTTCTGCTTCAGAATWAAGTCAGAGCAGGATGCAGAAGACTTTGAGAAATGCATCGTCTGTTTTGGAGCAGTAAAATGAAAGCGTGTGGGAGGGGGAAGCGTTCACTTAAATACCCTGCAAATCAATCCTGGATGCAAGTTAGTAAAACTTGCAAAACTTGCTGACACTTTGTATGCCGCATTCCCAAATCCGTAGCTGGTCAGGGATCCCTCTCCCTTGAGGAGTCTCGTCGGGATGCATTCCTGCACCGGGGAAGATCCTGGTGTGCATCCCGCTGTCGTGCAAGGAGAGCTCCCCGCGACCTGGAGCTGTCCCTCTCCTGAACCACGTTGTCTCACCAGCCCGAGAGTCACAACCCTCGTTCCTTACGGATTCTGCACAAAAGGCGTGTTGGCAGCTGGAGTAATTGATCAGCCCTAAGCTCCTGTCTCCTCGCAAGTCTGCCTTTTCCCTCTACACGTGGGAACTGCATCTTCCTTTAATCCTGCTTCCCGGCTCTTCCAGCCTCAAGACATGTCAAGTTCTTCACRTACACTCTTGGATTTTTTCTTTTCTTGGTGCCTGGATCAAGAAAAATCCTGGATCCTGGATTTTTTTTCTTTTTTTTTGAAGTTGTGAGGAAGAAGGTAAATGAACTACTCTGTAGGAATCTAGATCGAACCCATTCCTTCTCTGTGAATATTTCATTCATAATTAGAAACTGAAAAAAAAAAAAAAAAGGTCCTAAATCCCATGTGAAGGCTCATGGATGCAGGGACATCAGTTGCAGGTGTTGTGGCCACTGGTTTTAGGTTTTCATTGCATTAGAAGTGAAAGTCGGGTATCCAGTCAGTGCAGGACTTTCCTGTGATAAATGTGCTTCCTTCTGATGTGGTTTCAAGGCCTGATTCTAGAGCCTGCTGAAGTCAGTGTAACTTTTCCATTGAGTTTGGTAAATCCTGCACAAACCCGTTGCATTAATTCCTTCATGGGCACAATAAAACATCCTAACATTACTGGAAGCAGAACAGTAGAGTGAATTTTTTTTTTTGAAATTTTTGAAGGGTTTTTTATTTTTTTGATCCCCCAGGAGATGTGATCAGAGGTTTGAATTTGGAGTTATTAGTTTAATTTGGTATCTCTGCTAAAGTGATTCCCAGTGAACAACTTGGTGTTGTGAATTTTGCACTCATTTAACTTCAGCATCTCCTTGAAGCTGGTGGTAGAGCCTTAATGCCTTCCACTTAAACTCTCTGGTGATCTAGGAAGTTAAAACTGTATCAAATTGTGGTGGTGGTTGTTGTTTTTCCAGTTTTCTATCTGTTGTTGTGGGAGACAAAACATGCTCTATTATCAGTACTACTGGGTAATTCTCATGACCTATGAACTTACTCTATCTTTCTGATGCCTAATATTTTTGAAGATCTGGCAGGAAAATAATTTAAAAAAAAAAAAAAGGATTGGCAGATTATCATTTAGTTGCAAAGAAAGAAAACAACAAACCTTTCTCTGGGCGAAACCCGTTGTTCTTGAAGCTTCAAGACATCATCTAGATTTCTAGACTTTAAATTCCATAACACGCAGTTTTGCTGCACTTCTGCTAGATTGTGTCTGCTTCAGCCTATAGGTGCAGTTTTATTTAGGAGCTAGTCAGTCCCTTCGGGAGCAGCTGTTACAGAAGTGGGGTCTGGGTTTAAAGATTTTGCTGTCAAAACTGGGAAAAAAGTATGGGGAAAAATCATGTGTACCCTTTCCTCAAGTGACATAGCTGTGACAGCAGAGACCAGCAAAAATGCCCAGAAACAAGGAGGCAATTTTGCAAAAAAATAACGTTTGCTCTGGAGAACTGYCTTAAGAGCACTCTTAACTAGTCTAAACTGTCTCTAATAAAGGAGTTTGAGGGTGGCTAGACTGACTGTACTATATAAGCAGAGATATATCCACAGGCAAACAGAGGGTGTGCCGGATAAATAGAGAAACTGTGTAGGCTAAAGTGATCTTAAGAATACTGATTTCATTCCAACATAGGGACCTGAAGGACTTGCTCGGTACGAGGGAGCCGGGAGCGCACCCCACCACGGAGAACTTTATTTGCAGGGAACATTTAACCACCTCRTTGGAGCTTCTGGGACAGCGGAGAGCAGAGCTGGCAGCGTTGCTGATGTTGTCAGTTGGCTCCAGCAGCTTTCTGCAGAGTCAAGCTAATATACAAGTAATGCTCATGTGCTGTGAACAGGAGCTTCTTGCTGGAAAGAGCTGGGATTACAATTCTGACATCCAGGCAGGGTCCTTGGAAAAAGAGTAGGACTTCYAGAAGAGTCAAAGAACCAAGCATGTGGTGCCAAATATTAGTGGTGGAAATGGAATGAATGTTCATAAGCAGCTCCCATGGCTTGACTTTTCAGCTAGGACAAGTGCAGTTACACACTGTGCATAGCAGGAGGAGGTCCTCTGAGAATCCGCACAACTCTCAAAGTCTTTACTGCCCAAGCGCTCCTCTTCCACCCAACTTTAGAAGGTTATCCTTGAGTTGTAACTCTTGGTCTTTCTTTTTTGATTAGCTTGAGGTGAAGGTGATCACTACTGAGAGAGCAAAGCATTTCTACAACACCCAGGAGATTCCTGTCACCCTCTACAGCGATGATGATGAATGGCAGGTGGGTTGTTCTTCCTTTGGGTATGTCAAGGACTCTTCTGCTGCACTCAGCAGTCACATGTTTTATGATTCAAGTAGTTTCGTCATGCACTGATGCTTTCTGCTTCCAGCAATGGCCAAATAGCCATGCTTCAGAAGAAAAGTAGCCTCCTTGGAGGATTCACTTAGAAACTTGTTCAGATGATGAACAGCAAATAGAAATGTCCCTTCGAGCTCCTTTCCATGGGACCCTTTTTATTATTTATTGGTTTATTTTTCATCCTGGGCCAGGGTTTGCATCTGTGGCATATGCTTTGCAATGTGGCTCTCAAAGAACATGTTTCCAGCGCTCTTCCACAGTGGAGAAGCCCCACGTTGCCTGTGAGGTCTGTTGGCCAAGCTGGGAAGGGGACACGAAGCCATTGTAACTGACCATTCTGACRCAGTGGCAGGCGGGATGTCCTGCCAGCGTAGGTTTTTGAGATAACTTCGTTTTGAAAATAAAGCTACAAACCTTTCTTTCTGAGGAGAAAGGAAAAAAAAAAAAAGTGGAGTTGCTGGGAAAGGTTTCAGGGAGCACCAGCCTTCCGGATGCTGCCTTTTTGTTGTGGCTTCCAGTGACTCAAAGAAGGAACAGTGTGTGGCCGTGACACACCTCTTGCTGACCTGTGGTTGTGTGTGGCCCGTGGGGACTGAACATCTAATGCTGCTTGCCACTTCTCTCRACGTTTTTCCAGCAAACTGCGCTCTTAAGAGAGTAGGAGAACCTCCTGGAGTAACACAGAGCTTTGGAGAAAACAGCAGCACTTCTTTAGAGTCAGGAGAGCAAGGAAGAGCCCATTTTGTTAAGTCTAGTYGATCCTTGAGAAAGCCAAAGGGATTTTTCCCTACTGTGCTCATGAGGGTTMACTTTGCTATTGTGTGTAGATGGCTCAGGAGCATGTGTCCTAACTGTGAATTACTTGTACAGTTAGAGATCTAAATCTCATTTAGAGCAAGTGGAAGGCCTCAAAGTACATAATTCCTTCCCCTTAAGTCTACCTGCTGGTGACATATTTGGGAAAGATAAGGTGCAAGTTATTCCCAGGGCGCGTTGGTAACCTGTAGTATCTACGTGGTCTCATACCCAGCTGTGGAAAGGCCGATCGGACCCAGTCCTGCACATTGAGCTCCGGCGCTGGGCTCACCTCATGCTGGTGGCCCCTCTCGACGCCAACACACTGGCCAAGCTGGCGAATGGCATCTGTGACAACCTGCTGGTGAGTGTCTGGAGCTCCCACTGAGAGCCTTGCTTTTCCTGCTGCTTCTCATGGTTAATATTGCTCCCGTTTGACCTTATCCCTGTCTTGTGAACGCGTGCACACACACACAAACACACACACACTTGCACATGAGTTCCTCTGCATTTTTCTCAGATGTGATACAGAATGACACCTGTGAGATCAGATAAAATTGTTTACTTCCTGCTGCTTTACCTCTTTCCTCACCTAACAGCATAGCATAGCAACTCAAAYATGTGCACACTTATTTACCTTCCATTTTCAGCTATAGTTCTGTTTGGTTTTGCTTTTTTTTGCTTTTTCAGGCATGTTTTCTGGTATTGAAGGTGGCTCTGGCAAAAAGACTGATCATAAAATGCATTAAAAGAGTACGCTTGTATCTGTTTAGTGACATGTGGCTTCAAAAATCCTGCTGGTCTTTTTGGAGAGCCTTGTGGGGAGCTGAGCTAAACCTTGAGAAAGGAAAACAAGTGTCGGAGGTGCTGGTTTGTTGGCAAGTCGGAACAGATTCTAAGAGACTTTCCCTCTTCTGGGAAAGGTTCAAATGACAGGGCATAGAAAAGGATGGGCAGGGTATTGTCAGTGCCCTCAAGTACTGTGTTAACTGAGCAGAGATTCACTGGTGTGAACTGTGGTCGCTTGGGAACCTCCCTTTGCAGGACAGAGACCCTGCTAGGGCTAGGCAAGCTGCTGCACGTTGCACTGTTCAGGAACAAGTGGCCTTTCTCTTGTAACGGAGATGAAGCCATGGTAGGTTTTYTGAAGCTCCGTATCATGGAAGAGTTACATATGATCCTCTGTAGCACACAGGACCTGATGGATGGTATGTCCTCTACCAGCATCTTCTGTCACGGGCCAAATGTGTTCCTGCTCTCCTCACTTTGTATGTTGGAAGCAACAGTGCTTCCTCAGTGAGGAGTGCTGGATTCAGTTGGCATATTGCTTAGAGAATCCCTTGCCAGCTCCTCCTGTTTAGCTTTACTCCTCCTGTTTTAGCTCTGAAGTGCTGCCTGGGGATTTTGCTGCCGCTGATATGATCTGTGGCCACCCTGCAGCTCCTCTTCTGCTCCTCCATGGGCTGTCAGTGTGTTCACTGGGGCTGCTTGCTTGGCTCCTGGGCAGCATAGGATGGGATCTCTCCTTCTTGTAGCTTCCCTCATCCTTCTTTTCTGCCAGATAAGAGCATGGCTGGGATGTCACACAAATTAGTAGCAGCCCTTGGGTCTATTCGTGGTTTAGCACAGCTGCACGGACAGAAGGATGGTTTTGGCCCTCTAGTGATGCTGAGCCTAGGAAAGGACTGCTATGCAGCAAGGAGATGAGGAGGAATGAGGAAAGCAGCCGCTTTGCAGTGCTGAAACTCTTGGCTTCTTTTGCAGACCTGTGTAATCCGTGCTTGGGATCTGAGCAAGCCGCTGCTTTTCTGCCCGGCTATGAACACAGCCATGTGGGAGCATCCGCTCACAGCTCAGCACGTGGAGCAGCTCAAGGGCTTTGGCTACACCGAGGTCCCCTGCGTGGTGAAGAAGCTGGTGTGYGGAGATGAAGGTCAGTCATTTTGCATGGCTTCTGACAGCTTTTCTGGACCAGCGCTCCCATTGCAGGAAAGGAACGTGCCTTTTCTTGCCCTGTGCTCTTCAGAATGTCGGACTGCGGGAAAAAAGATGCTAAAACTGCATTGCCCAGCTGTATACAAAAAAAAAATGAAGCTTTGCCCCGGTGTCAGTTGGTTTCTGTTATATTTGTTTGTTAATTATTTATTTTTATGACGATCCAAGCCAGCCTTTCAAATGAGACATTAGATTGGCCATATATTCRAAAGAAATACTCATTCGAGAAAAGAGGAGACTGAGAAGAAGGCAGGCTTTGTGGGGAGCGTATCAGCCCAGGGTTTGGATATTCCTGCCCTCCACTCCCATGGTGACTGGAGACCGTCTTCATCATGCTCCAAGCTCCTCATCACTAATGCAGGGGTAATATCTTACCCTCAGAGCCTGCAGTAAGGTTAARTGCTTGCAGATGTGGCTGAGGGTGTAGCTGGACCTGCATTTAATATTTGTTGCTGTTTGTTACCCTGGTTACTTCTCAGCTAAACCAGCTCCCGAGTCTAGGTTTGGTTTGGGGTTTTGTCATCTGACTTCTCAGTGAAGTGAAAGAGAAGGGAGTAGGGAAAGCTGTCACCCTGTTTCGAATGGCTTGACCTTGCAACTTYGTGCACTGCTGTTAAAATGGTCTCGGTTGTGTTTTGGGAGCTGCCTTGAAGTTATTTTGACTTTTTAGAGTCTTTTGGAAGGATTTTCACAGAAGCAAATTAAGATGAACGGATTCCCTTTTTTTATTCAGACAAACGTATTTCATACAAAGTCCGTAAAATGTCCCAGCTATAATAGCAACYGTGTTGTTATCTGCACAATAAAATATATATACATATATATTCACTTGACAATTCCAACTGGCGGTATTTTAATCACTCTGCTGACTAGTTCAATAAACAGTCTGCAGTGAAGTGCTCTTCCTGGTTAAATTAGTGTACTTCATGATTATATTCAAGGGCTGATTTCCATAGTTTCTGTATTCTTGGGCAGAGGCAATGCATCTAGAGAGTGTATTTTGAAGCTGAAGACTAAGAAATATTTGCAGTTGGGTAAGTGTAGTCAAGTAAGCAGGCATTAGTTAAAATGCCAYGGACAATTCTGCTTCCACTGAGGTTTTAGTCCTCATTCCATCGAATTTCTTGCATACTTTTATTAAAGCTAAGCGAAAATGCCCAAAAGAGGTTATTTCAAAAGAGGTTCTTTCTCACTTGTGTTTGCGAGTTGCTTCCCAACAGGATTTTCCAGCTTCCACTGCTGACATCTTCCTTACTCTCCTGCTTTTTTTTGTTCAGGCTTTGGGCTTTCACCCCAAGGCTTTATTTTCCAGACTAATTTTTGTTTCGTGTGCTTCATCTACAAAGGGGTTTGTTTGGCTTCCATCCAAGCACCAAATAACAAAGCTCAAACATCTGGTACAGGAGCGAAAAGATTCAGTTTGCACCAGTTTTGACTGTTGAGGTTGTGGTTTATGTTGCTTTAAAAGAGATTCTTCTTCCCTGCTTGTGTCACTGTTCCTACCTGAAGTGGGCCAGATCCTGACTGTCACCGAGTGTCTGGATGACAAGCTTTCCCTGATAATCCTTTTCTCCCTAAGTGAGTATTCGTAGATGTAGAGATATCCAGCAAAAGAGTTAAAACGGCTAACTCAATTGAGTTGGAAATTAAAATCAGTTTCCTTGGTGGGATAGCTGAATGTAACCTACCCGTTGCTGGCCTTGATGGTATCTGCATGCCACCATACAAGGAGACCTTTGAGAGGTTGTGTACCACACCTGGGCCTGCAGCAGTTTGCCCTTGCAAAACGCTTCCAGACTTCTGGTGTCTTCATCATCCTTGGCTGGATTTGTAGAGCCTTGCAGACAGGAGTCTCGCCTGTAGGCATGATCTGTGCTCCAGGACAGGATGCTTAGCAAGCTCTTGCTCAGCTAAACTGACAGATCTGACAGCTGTGAATTGCCAAAGGTGTTGAGGACAKAGGTCATGCAGGACAAAAGCTTGGAGAAGGTTATAGTTTTGCCCAGCTGGGAGGAATCAGTCAAGAGATTTCTGTTATTCAGAAAAACCCGACAAGTGCAGTTCCATGTAAGATCAGAAGACAGAGCTGCTTAAATCTGCCTGCTTTTTGTCTTGTGCGATGCTTCAAACCTCGAATTAAGGATCTGGATGGTCTGTAGCGGAGAATGACAGGCTTGCTCTGCAAAGAGACTTGATTCTTTTGTCCTTCCAAAATCATCATCATTCATCTCGAATGCTCACAGGTTGTAACCAGCCGTGACATCTATCCCAGACAAAACTCGGGTAGCTCTTGAAACCAGAGTGCCAAGAGAGCTTGAGTGCTCTCACTGCCCGTGGAGAGCTCCCCGCTGTTCAGAACTGCCCTTCCCCTGTCTCACCCCCGTCTTGCTGCTGTCTTTTCAAACCTGCTGCTTTAATTCCTCACCTGCACACTTGCTAACAGGTTTGTAGTGATTAGTAGACTYCATCTCTAGTATCTTCTAATGGAGCCAGAGGCTGATGGGGGAAATATCTTCCTCAGCCCCAGGCATATTAGAGGAGAGAGTGGACAGGGTTCTGTGATGGTAGTTTGGAAAAGATTGATCTCTACTTGATCAAAAATATTGATCTCTACTTGCCTTAGAATTCTGAATCCAAGTTAAAGATATTACTTGAGAGGAAAACAACAGCTTCAGYGTAGACTACATGTTCCTTTGGCAACCAACTAGTCCAAAAGGAAAAGTTTTTACGTTTTGTTTTGTCCAACACTTAGTCTTCTCCAAGAAACTACTCCCAAGATTCAAGGCAGTGCAGAGTCAGGACAGCTTTCCCTCTGATGTGAGTCTAACTACAGAGTCATTGGAATGGTATCAAATCAACAAGACTTTTGGAGCAGGCAAAAGCCWTTTAAGAAAGATATTGAGTATGTACAATGTGAGTGTGTTCCCGCTGGAGAAGGAGGAAGAAAGAGTATCTCATTACCACTTTTTTGACTGTCTTTTATACACGAGCAGTAGTGTGAGCTAAGGTGCTAGCTCTCTGCACGTCAAGGCTTCAATACAGGCGCCTCTGGAGGTGATTCAGAGCACGAGGTACTTATTAAGGTCATGAGAGTTGCCTCTTGAGGTTTTTGGCCCCTCTCCATCAAGTGTCTGGGGAGCTTCTGCTAAGACATCTAAGTCAGGATTCAGACTAAGCATGAGGCCTCATTTCRCCCTCCGCTCCTCTGGCACTGAACTGTGCCACAGAATCCATTGAGGTTCAGAGGAGGTGGCACAGAGGAAACGTCTTCGTGGCACCTGGACATTGCAGTGTACGTTTTGTCTTCCCTCTAGGTCTAGGTGCCATGGCCGAAGTGGAGACCATTGTGGAGAGTGTGAGACGGATCCTTGCGGAATGCGTCCTGCCAAGGCAGAGCTGACCACTCAGCATGTGGACTACATTAATTCCCCTCTGTGATGATCTGAAGGTGAAACCAGTGGGAAGCAGAGTGGTGATGATGTGTCCGTCAGCCAGGGGAGTGTGCTGGTTGTGCTCCAGCTGGTGCAGAACTGAAGTGCAATGCATCRTTGCAGAGTCTTCAAAACCAAAGCCGAGAGCATGTGTCTTTAGTGTGGGAAAACTTTGGTGGTATCTTACGGAGAGGGAGAAATATTCCACTAGTCATCCCCAAGTACTTCATGCACAGCCGCTTCCTAGGAGCACAACGACTTGCTGGCATGTCCTGGATCCAGCAGTTCCCCCAAGGATGGTTAGAGAGGAGGTGATGTCAAAAGTGCTGCTAATGGGGATAATACCAATCCCTTCCAGCACATCAGTATGGGGATGGTGATAGATCAGTAGTCCTCAGAGCCTGGTCCAATGAAGCTGTGTTGGCTTCAGCTTTCCAGCAGGAATCACTATCCAAAAAACGTCTTCTCTCTGGGAACTTAATAAAAGAGAAATTTTAATTCTGCTGCTAAAGAATTGCCTCTTGTAGCTGTTTGGAGGGGGTTGTGCTTAGCCGATGCTGTGTTTTGATCAGATATGGGAAAGAACATGACTGAAAGAGGCTGTCTGGTTTCTGAATTAGCCTTTGCCCTTTTGTAACTGTGGCCTGGAGGGGGTGCAGATGTCATCTGTGGGCCAAAATGACACCTGGATGCTTGTCAAGAAGCAAGCAGGCTGGGCACTGGTCATAAGGGTGGATGTTTGCAAGGCAGGGAAGGAAAACTTTTCCTCTTACTGTCCTTATCAGCTTGAACATTTACTGGCATGGAAAAAAGAAAAGGAAATCCCATGCCTGTGGGCCAGACCTGCTTCTCCTTGGAGCCATGATCCTGCCCCAGGKGAGGAGGAGAGTGAGCTGGGATTGTTGGGTACCTCATCATGGATAAGCACTGCTGCCTAGAAAGTTTATTTTTTAACCAGACCTAGTCAAAAGTAAGGATTTCAGTACAGAATGTGCATCCTGCGTATGGGGGACAACCTTCAAACTGCTGAGCACAAGGGAAGAGGTTATCTGGGTATGTTTGCTTCCCTTATCTATTCTGCATAAATAAAAGCCTCTGAACTTTCCCATTTTTGGCTCTTTCACAGAAAGATAGCTGCAGATTCAGAGCTTCTAGGGATTAAGTCAGAACGAGCCCCGGGTGAGCCAAACTTCTGACTTAGTAGCAGGAAGAAGGACTGTAGCAAAGCTGGTGGTGAGATTTGTTTTGTCTCATGGTGCTAGATGGTTCCAGGGAAATTTGGGATAAAATCTGCATAGTTTGCTTACAGCCTTAACCCGATGACAGCTGTCTATCTCTGCAAGGTTTTTCCTTCAGGCTTTTTGAAGGCAGTAGAAGAGATGTCTTTTGATTTCCATGAGTTTTGTAGTAGGCATTGGTTCTGGCACTTAGTAAGAAAAACATCTTCTGGCAGTTGCAACTGCCAGAGCTTGGTAGCAAGACCTTGTGGGTTCTCCTGGCTCTGCTATGAATGTCCCACCTAGCTCGAACTGTTCCTAATCTTTTCCTAGACTAAATATGACTTCAAGGTTCAGTAGATCAAAACCTCGTGTCTGTGCAATATGAGCACTGATACATTAACCTATTTTAYTAGTTTGAGCTTGCTTCAAAAGCTTCCATGGGCATTGGAGACTTCTTCCATCATCACAGGGTAGGATAAAGCAGGTGCTGCGGGGTGAGAGCTCAGATATTCAAACAGAAATGGGATAATGTGCCCAATTTTAGATCCAGAATTTATGTTGGCTCACCTGAGAGCACGCAGATTGGGCACTTACCCTCCTAGCCCCAAGCTTGGTTAGCTGAGCTGTAAAAGGGGGGAGCTGATAAGCCATTCAGGCTCCTCCCAGGGCTCAAGTTAATGTCATGCGAAGTATTTGCAGATCCTCGAGTAAAAGGAGTTAATTCTTTGTGCTGCAAATGTTAGAGCAGATCCTCCAGCAATAGAGATGAATGTATGCGCTCAAGTGGAGCCTGGGGCAATGACAAGTGGCACTTTGTTTTCTAGGCAATTGCCCCTGGTGTTGCATACACAAAATGCTCCCCTGCAAGGGACATCTCTCCTGGAGCTTCTCATCTGTGCTGCAAAAAAAGCAGATGCTAATTGTGTTGCTAAGTGTTCTGCTGCATAATTGCTGTAATTTCTAATTGGAGGCAGGTCATGATATCATCACACGTTGAGATAGAGCCCACTGAAACCACCTTGCCTTTGAGGCAGATCTAAGAAACAGTCACATTCCTTTTGGAGGACTGAAGCTTCAGGGAGTGGAAGAGGCCAGGTGTGTGCAGGGAGCCCTGGGCAGGGAAGTCACGAGTTCTTCACCTGCAGGGAAAGGATTTGGGGCCAARATCTTCCTAGGATGTGACTTAGAGTTGTGAGCAGAGGACTTGCTATGTGCAAGGAGATGGGACTTTGTTTAGACGCTGTAAACAGCCAGTGAGGAGGTAGATGTTGAGTGATGCCTTCCTCAAGGGAGTCTGAGACAACATCACAAAACCCTTTGCTTTTGTGCTTTTGTTTTTCAGGTGCAGAGAGGTGGCCTCAAGTTCTAGTCGTGTTGTTCTTTCCTCCCCTCTTTGGCCACCCGCTGCTTTCGTTGCACTTTCCCATGTGCGTCTCTGATGACCAAAGCAGCATCCCAGGGAAATGTGCCGTGTTGCAGTTTCATTCACGCTGCCCAAAACCGTTCCTCTCAGCACTGCTCTGTGAGCGATAAGCAGCTGGGATAAAAGCACCGTGAAGGCAGTGGTCCTGCTTTGCTCGCRCCAGGACTCGAGTGCTTTAAGAAACTGCTTTTTAGATGTTAGCCTCATTGGGTCTTGCGTGTATGTCCCGGGAGCTTTCAGCAAAAATTGCAAAATGCCAGATTGACTGTAAGAAATCCCAAGTTAAAAAAAAAAAAAAAACCATATATTTGCTCATTCCTTCCGCAGGTCCAAYCTCCATCCTTGCAAACCTGTGTTGCTGTGCAAGCTGCCAGACAGCAAACAGCCAGTTTCCCCTCCAGCTCCTTCCAAAGCTGCTCGCAGCCCCTTGGGCGCCTGTTTTGCAGCAGCCCTGCGCAATCCGCGTGCCGGCTCCGGAACTGACACCCGTGCCCAGCGACCCGCCGTGGGTTTGCACCTCGGCTCGCCCGCCTGGCCGCGGGAAGCCGGGCCTGTTGGTTTCTGTCTTCGAAAGCACAGCGCACCAGGAAATGCTTTTCTTTCCGGAGGGCTGCAGTCCCTCATTTTGCCCCTACTCCTTTGTAAACCATCCCTTCTGGGGGCTTTAGGGGTCCCTTATAGTGTCCATCRCTGCATTACTGCTCAGTTGACCCTACCTGGCGTCAAGTTTTCGTGCAGCTGGAAGAATGCAGCAACTGCAAGGTGGGTCACCACTGCTGTCTGTAACCACCTACACGTCCCCATGCCCCAAGTTGCAGGTGACACCCTTTCAGGGGAGGACTTTGCAATGTGGCTGGAGGAATTTGCTGCTAAAAGGAAGCTGCTCCCATCGTTTTCACAGACCTCCTGCAGCCTTATCCCGAGCGTGCTCTGCGGCTCTGATGAGCTGTTAATTTGCCCCAGTTCCTGGTAAACCTGCCCCTTCACCAGCCATTTGGGACCTGACTGCTCATCTTGATTAAAATCCCACTTGTGAGGCAGAGCTTTGAGCGCGGGCTGAGCATGAGCAGAGCCGTGGAGGAAGCCGAGCGAGCACTTCCTGGGCACCAGTCCTGCTGTATTAAAGCAAGGAAATTGCTTGCTATTTATAGTCAGCTTTGCTTCCTGAATGTACATGTTCTGTGTTATAAATGAAGGCAAATGCATTAGCATCACCATCTCACCCGACAGATGTGACAGATGCTTGCACTGAATTGGGACTGGTGTGCCCATCTTCYGGACCGTTCTCTTGTCACGACTGTCAGCATAGTTGCAAATCTCAAATCAGCAGCAGAGCGGATCTCCAGGTCCTTTCTTGGAGTCGCTTCTGGGTCTCCTGACTGTTTCCTGCATGCAGTGATCACGATTCTCGGATTTCAAGTGCTTCCCTTCTGGTGTTGCTGCTGCAAGCCTTTGACTCAGGCTGGTCTGTAGGATGGGGTCTGAAGGGGCTCCCTGTCTCAGCAGTGCTTGGTGGCATTGGTGGCATTGTCATGAGGGCTTCACTGGTGAAATCAGCCTTTTTCCTGCTGGGATTCCTTGGCTTGTTCCCCAAGGACTTGTTTGCCGCTGCTGTCAAGGTGTGCGCCGTCTATCCTGTGCTTGATCCACGTTTCTTTTGCCCTTGCGGGTTTTGCTCCCATCTGCACCAACGTTTTCCTCTCTCCRTCTGGGATGGACTCGAAAGGCGGCCACGCTGATAAGAGCGTTGCTGAAGGACCCAGCAACAAGCCRGGCAGACTCCTTGGCACCAGGCACGCTGATATCTCTGCTTTTGTGGTGACCAGTGTGCAGTTAAGTGTTGCAGGTGTAGTGTTCTTGCCCCATTCAGCAGCCGTGGTGGATAGTGTAAAAAATTGTTTCCAGCAGTAAYTGAGCTTAATTAGAAGCTGGACTATCCTGGTGCTGCTCAGTGCTGAGCCTGGGCACTCGTTCCCTGTCTGGAATCTGAAGTTCTCTTTGGGCTGCTGGTGTTACTGGCAAAATGTGAAGATTCTGCCCAGCTCTGGAGATGTTCTGGGGTCCTTAGGAGAAAGGGTGGGTTGCCAGCTTGCTCAGGGAAACTCGTCCTGCAGCAGAGGATGGGCCAACAGTCAAAAACAGGCAGAAGGTTCCAAAATGCAAGTGTATTTCGTCATGTCTTCACCCAAATCTGCTCCTCCAGGTTGAGACCGGGGCTCATTTCCATCCTGGCTGTATTCTGGAAATCTTTGCTTTCGCTTTGTATCTCTCTTTTCAAGCTCGCTGCAGAGAAAAGAGAGGA